TAGCAGTCACCGATTTTTATAAAATAGAGTTTTCCCTTATGGGGACCAGGAAACCGGTCCCCATAAGGGAAAAAAAACGGATATTTATCACGTTATGGGGACATTGTGTCCCCATAAGGATAGGTAAACCCGCTCGCACACACACAGACACTAGGGATGTAACTATACACTCAACCCACGATTTGATACGATTCACGATTCTGATTTCACGATACAATTTTCTCACGATTTTTTAAAAGGATGAGCTGCAGACAAATTTATTTAAAAATATTCCTTTATTTATCTTTCTGTGCAAAAGTGTCCTCTTCTTAACAGTGCAACTGAAATTGAATAAAATACTTTTTTAAAAAAAAATCTCAAATCAAAATAAAAAAAACTTCAAATAGGCTACTGTAAATAAACGGTAACACTTTACATTAACTGCACCTTCATAATGCTTTTATACTGCATTCATAAAACTTTCAGTACACCTTCATAATGTATTCATTAAGTATTCATAAAACATTTATAAACGTCATGTACAGCTATAATATACATTAATAACAAACATTATATAATAATAACAAACATAATTGTATAATCATGTAATGTTTGTTATTAATGTATATTAAAGCTGTTAAGGGATGTTAGGATATTAAAGTGTACTTGCATGCTGCTTATTAATGTTCTATAAATGCATTATGAAGGTGCACTTAATATAAAGCGTTACCAAATAAACTAAGGCTTGGATGTGCAACTTTTTAGCGTGGTTTGCCCTTTTAATAATCTTCGCTCTGGCGGTAGTGAATTGATGCTGAAGCATGTTCGTTGTGCTATTTGTGTATGTTATCAGTCTTTTACAATGCTTGCACGCAGTTTTTGTCTTGTCTGTGCTTTTCTCGCCGTTTTCGTTTGTGATTACCGGAAAGCTAAAATGCTGCCACACCACCGATTTAAGATCGGGGGGGATGTCCTCAATTTCAAATTCTCTCGCCATCTCGATCGCATTCGGTCAAAACCAAAAACTAGACGTAGACGTCGACGTGAATAGGCAGTGACATCTGACGTCGATCTGACGTCGTGAAATCAAACGTAATATTACATCAGTTTTTCTGTTAAGTAAAGTACCGTCAAGTACTCCTAAAGTAGCGATTCATTTTCCACATCAGCCGGTTTAAATACATTTACATCGATTTTTAACCGATTCGCGAGTCATCGTTACATGCCTAATAGACACACATGTAGACACAAACACACACACAGACACACACACTACACCGCCACAGCTGATGCTGCTGTCTGGCCCCCTCCAGCTTCACAGAAACATAAGCATGCCGGAATTGGTGAGCGGACTCCCAGACGGGCTGCTGTCCCATGTGTCCCTGGAGATGCTGGCAAAGGCCAGGCTACAGTCTGCTGAGCAAGTGAGGGACCGAAGCTGGAGCCGTGCCCAGGTGACAGCCTTGCGCCCGTCCACCATAAGGGCACCTGCCCTGGCACAGCCATCTGCCCATCCACAACACAGGGGGCACCTGCCCTGGCACAGCCATCTGCCCATCCACAACACAGGGGGCACCTGCCCTGGCATAGTCATCTGCCCATCCACAACACAGGGGGCACCTGCCCTGGCACAGCCATCTGCCCATCCACTACACAGGGGGCACCTGCCCTGGCACAGTCATCTGCCCATCCACAACACAGGGGGCAATACAGGGTGAACCTGCCCTGGCATAGTCATCTGCCCATCCACAACACAGGGGGCACCTGCCCTGGCATAGTCATCTGCCCATCCACAACACAGGGGGCACCTGCCCTGGCACAGTCGTCTGCCCATCCACAACACAGGGGGCAATACAGGGTGAACCTGCCCTGGCATAGTCATCTGCCCATCCACAACACAGGGGGCAATACAGGGTGAACCTGCCCTGGCATAGTCATCTGCCCATCCACAACAAAGGGGGCACCTGCCCTGGCATAGTCATCTGCCCATCCACAACACAGGGGGCACCTGCCCTGGCGCAGCCATCTGCCCATCCACAACACAGGGGGCACCTGCCCTGGCACAGTCATCTGTCCTCAGCCGCTCACACTCATCTCTCTCTGTTTGCAGGCTGCCTTCATCATGAGCAAGATTCTGAGTGGGAAGCTAGCTCTGAAGGAGCTGGGGTAAGAGTCAGCGGCGTGGTGCCATGTCACTGTACCACCTTATAAGGTGCCCACTGGAGTCCAGATATGTCCTCTCCCTTTTAAGGAAGCTGGGTCCAGCAGTGCAGGGCGTGACCTGTGAGATGATCAATAGAACTAATCAGAGTGATGTCATGGAGATGATTCAGATGCTGGCTCTGAACGCACAGTGGCTCTCCAGAACTCAGGTTTGATCACAGTCATGGTTTTGGGGTTCAGGTTAGGATAAGCTTATACAGTGGTACCTCAGAACTCGAATTTAATCTGTTCAGAACTCCGGATTGAATCCTAAAAAGTTGTGATCGAATTTCCCCCATAAGAAATAATGGAAAACCAATTAATTGGTTCCCGGTCCAAAAAATTACATCTAAATATGTTTTTTTAGCATTTAAACACAAAATGAACCAGATAAAACAAGAAGAGCATATACTGTATGTTACGGCTGGTCAAGAAGGGAGACAGAGATCCAGGAATGCAGGGATAACAAGCCTTTAATGAGTCGAGTTTGGGATAAGCACAGGAAGGGCACAGTCCTGCAGAGAGATGGAACGCTGGCTCCTCAGCCCAGGGGAATCCGTCCGACGAATAGACACAGGACCAGGGAACACGAGGAGGGGAGAACAGAAGAGGCTGGACTCGGCAGGACAGGTAGGTCAAGTACGGGAGCTGGTCTGAGGACGGAAGGCAATAAGGTAAGGATCGTACATGAGGTAAACAGGTAAGGCGGGGGAAAGCGGGTAGACAGAAGACTAGAAGAATGCTCAGCATGGCTTCGTAACATCGGCACAATACTTCGCGAGGAAGATCTGGGTTTGCTCAGCTTTTAAAGGAGGCTAATCGTCTGTTGACGAGTTGCACCTGTCTGGTCCCGCCCCTGTGGGCGTGACACTGTACTAACACATCTAAGCACATTTATCAAAACAGTAATTTGTAAAGTAAGAAAATAAATGTATCCAAACAATGTGTAAAGTTAAAAAAAACAATGTGTCCTGCTCCGATCGTCCGCTCCTTCCGTGTGCCACGCCCCCTCGTTAACTCCGTGTGGAATCCTCGTGTGATCAGCTGTTTCTGGTTGTTGTCATTAGTCCTCTGTATTTCGTCCGCGTTTCAGTTTGTTTCCCTAGTCCAGTCATTGTATTGTCCGTCTGTGTTTTGCCTGCCTTACCTGTAATTAAACCCTGTATTCCCCGATACCCTGACATCTGCGTCTTTGTCTCCGTTCCGTCCGGCACAACAATATTATTATAATTAAATGTATTAATGGTTATTAATATTAAAATAATTAATAAGAAATCTTTATTTTTAAATGTATTTTATTATATAATAATAATTACTGTTACTGTCTATCATTGTCTAAATGTATTTTTACTGTCTAAATATAGGCCTATGTATTCAGCTAGTGTAAACATGCAGGATGCTATCACAGCTAATGCCAGGCTTAGACTGAAACCTATGTTTCCGCTGAGAGACGTGCCTGCGTGTACAAGTTATCTTAGATCGGCGTTTACGGTTTGACTTCTGAGATTCAGATCAAGTTCTAGGTAATTTTTTTTTTGAACTGGTTGGTTTGACTTTTAAGAAATTCGAGTTCTAATGAGTTTGAGAACTGAGGTACCACTGCATTTGGAACTGGGTGTCGTTAGGGTTAAGATTAAGGCTGTTATTGTAGCTTTGATGGGAAGTTGCTGAGTATGGATTTTAGGTCTGATTTTATGTGTGACATATGAATTGGTGTTTGAATGTGATTATGACTGGGTTTGTTTTTTACATTGAATGTTAGGGTTCCAGATATAGTGTTTTCACTCTTCCTGAAGATGTTTTATCCAACTAAACGGCTCTGACTCAGTGCCCCTGTCTCCTTTTTAGGCATTGTGTGCCAATGTGAAGCTCTTTTACAACAAGGATGGTAACTTCAGCAACTTCAGCAGCATCGATGTGAACAGCATTCCTGCGGTTATGCTGCTTGAGCTTAAGTGAGTCATCCATGGAAAGCCCATGATCCAGTTAAATTGTATTTGTTACCGATTCAGTAATTTTTCACAGTTGTCCTCCCAAATGTCCTTAACAGCCCTAAAATAATAGCAAGTCTGCCAAAACATCAGTGCTCACGTTTCCTGGAGAAGATGGCCGTCGTCAACATGTCTTCCCTGCCAATCAAATCCCCCTCATGCCAGGCCCTCGCTGATAAGGCTCTGACTTGCCTGGTAAACACTGTCATCATAATCAACCATAGAAGTTCTGCTTGTCTAGATAAAGAGTAATGTGCTTAATTCGTGCATTAATGCATCATTGAAATGAGCAGCCTCACTCTGCACGTGTTGAATTTCCAGGGAAGGAACCTGTCCACGCTCTCACCTGAAGACATCAGTCACTTGGGAAATCTAGTGTGTGCATTAGATGTAAGGCGTTTCTCTGGACTGAGCCCAGAGGCCATTAACGCCAGTCTGCTGGCACTGGCCAAGTGTCCCACCCTCCGTCGTGATAACACAGAGGCCATATTCACACTCCTGAAGACCACATATGGGTGAGTGTTCCCAGCCACATTTTTTTCTATCATGTTCTGGCTCCCAGGTTCTGACGAGTGGTTTGTCTCGCTGTCACCCAGTGACCCCTCAGAATGGACGGCCACCACAGTGATGTCCCTGGGACCCCTTCTGCTGCTGAACGAGTCCATCCTCACATCCCTTCCTTCTGAGGTGCATGATAAAGAGCTCATGATGCATGAGCGCTGTCATCACTCCCTTTACCGTGTTTAATGTTGCCATGCTCCTTGGTCTCTTTCTGTATGTTCCCAGGCTTGGGTGAAGGATGCCCTCATGAACATCAAGGACAGCCTGCCCCAAACTCTATACTCTGGCTCTCCAGAGGTGTTTCCCACGTTGACAGACCTTAATGGCTTGAACAGGAAGCTATTTATCCTCACTACAGGATCTGTACCTGCCCGCACTAAACGAGACGGTGAGAAGTCCCATTAGAAATGGTCTCTTTTACCCAGAATTCTCCTCTGTGCTCTTTACGTAGTGTAGAACCCTACTACGTTTTCTTTACCTTTTGATCGATGCCCCTGCCTTCTCACAACCCCAGTACCAGCATTCTCCTCCATAAGCATCCCCACAGTGCTGGAGATTGAGGACCTAGGAGAGAGAAATGTGTACTGGAGTCCAGCTCAGCTTGCAGGCATCTCCCCCCAAACTTTCAGGGATAGGGTGTCTACCCTTGGGACGGTCCACAATTACAGTGCCATGCAGCTCCAGGCCCTGCGCAATAAAACGATGGAGGTAGGTGGCCTTGGGCATCAGGCAGTACCCGGGTACTCCAGCACGCCGACTACAAGGAGTAGTTGGTCAGGTCTGTTCAGGTACTTGTTCAATCTCTTGTCATCTTGAGACCAGACTACTGTAACTGACTCCTAGCAGGTTCTCCCACATCACACCATCGTTAAGCTCCCTCCACTGGCTTCCTGTAGTTGGACGGATCAAATTCAAAGCACTGTTGCTTGCCTACAAAGCCAAAAATGGAACAGCACTCTCCTATTGAAAAGAACTTATCTCACCCCGCACTGCACCATGCTCTCTCTGATCCTTCAGCACTGCTCGACTGGTCCCACCATCTCTCAAGGCACAAGGAAGACATGCATCTAGACCCGTCTCTGTTTTGGCATCTAAGTGGTGGAATGAACTTCCCCTAGATGTCTGAACAGCTGAGTCATTGGGTGTCTTCAAACGATGACTAAAAACCTACCTCTTTCTGAAGTACTTGGATTAGCACTTCCAGGGTTATGCTCTTATTAAAGAAAAAATGATTACTTGCCAACAGTTTTTTAGAGTGATAGTATTCTTAGCTGGGTTCAATTGAATGAGTAACAGAATGTATTCACTGATGAGAATTCTAAGCACTTATGTAAGTCGCTCTGGCTAGGGGCATCTGCCAAATGCTGTAAATGTAATGTAATGTAGCTGCTGCTGTGTATAGGTAAGGATAAGGGGCGTGTGATGATTACAGCGCGTTGCTGCACCCACCACACAATAAACCACCTCAGGGATGAGAACCTGAGTGTAGCTGTGCAGTGTGTGATACCTCAGCACCACACCAGTCCAAATGGACCAGGTCTGGATGTAGATTAACGTCATAACCAGGACGCTTTGTGTATAGCAAACCCATAAACACACCAGTCTCACTGAATATGTGCATGTCAATTTAAATAGTTAAATCAGTCTGCCCATGAGATTTTTATATATTTGCATAAGGGCCTTTTTTCTTGATCTTGTTTTCCTTGAACTGCCATGTATTCCAGCCTCTCATGTTGCTCGTATTCTCATTTCTATTGTTCTTCACTGGGTGCAGGTCTGGGGTCAGCCAGGGGTGCTGTCCGAGGAGCAGGTGCAACAGCTGGGCTGTGTCACCCAGAGTTTCCTCCACACTGAGCTCCAGGAACTCAACATCAGCTCCCTGGACACCCTGGAGATGCTCTCCTCATGTGTCTGGGAGCAGAGACAGGTCAGCAGGCAAGAGAAGTGGTGAAATGTGTAATGATGATGATAATGAATATTTGAATAGTATTTGAATATGATGAATATTTGATAGTGACGAAGGGCAAACATCTATTTTATTATTATTCCCTGCCAGAGGACAGCAGTGTGGCTTAGGTTTATGAACCGCACTGGTTGCACACCAGCCAAGCTGGGAACCATGGAGATTGTGGGACTGGGCCAGTTTCTGTGTGGACTGAGTGCTAAAGAAATCGGTCAGCTGAGACCAGAGACGTGCAGGTCAGAAGCCCATTCTACAGCGTCCAGATGCAGTGGGCGATGGTGCTGCCAGCAGTGACCATGATGGAGGTGCACTCTGTTGCAGGGAGGCGCTGGGGGCACTGGGCAGGATCCACTGCCCGCTTGATGTGGCCATGCAGCTGAAGGTGCAGGTGCTGGAAGCCATCGGAGCACCAGCAAACTGGTCAGCAGCCCAAGTGAACAGTGCAGGGAACATCCTGGGTCAGTTACAGAGCAGTACTACCATTTAGGGCGCTTTTCTATAGCACCAAGTACTGTACTTTCAGTACTTTCTCTTTTCCATTGATTACTGGTCGAGTACCAGTACCAAAAGTTCCAGTACCGAAAGTGCCAAACCAGCTGGGGTACTTCTGTACTTTGGTGTGGGACTTGGACCGCTTCCTTTGTTGATTGGTTATGGAAATAGCCTGCCGCTGAAACACAATACAAACGCTGCCTTGAAAAGAGTTTTGAAGTCAGAAAATAATGATAAATATTAAGGATAAGATGAGGATGAGATGATGAAGATAAAGGATGAGAAAAAGTTTTGTTAAATATACTAATACAGCACACATATAGCGTGCTGTCCAACCAATGTGATTTTGTCGTTATAAATATTTGGGTATTTATAAAACAAAAAAGGAGTTCATAAATTTCTCTCAAACCCGTCTTTGAGTGATATAAATGGCAAGGATGAAAATGATTACGATTGTCTCGGAGACCACATGCAGCACTCAAAGCAGCGGAGGTAAAAATTTAAACTGATTTTTAAAATATAAAAATCAATAAAAGAAATAAACCTTGCTAAGTTTTTTTCCTATGACAGAGTAACAGAGCAATAATATTTTAGTGAAACTTTAATGCAAACTCCTATAATACAACCTACTATAGCCATTTTTCGAGTTCAGCACAGAATACCCCGCCTCGCGTTGTTATGTCATTCAGCGCCGGTACCAGTGTTTATGGCATGAGAAAACCAACATCTTGAAGTACCGTACTTTTGGTACTTCCTCAAGGTACCGAAAGTACGGTACTTGATATGGTGGAAAAATGCCCTTATTTCCTGCCCTGGCCTCCTTCCTGCATCTTTCTGCCATATTGCTCCTGTTTGCTTCCTACTGATACCTTTGCTGTCATCAGATGTGCTGCTTGTTGTTTTGCATTACACCTTAGCTGCTTAATTTAATGAAATGGATAGTGGCTGTTTCTGGGGTTTTAAGTGACACTTTCTGGGGTTTTTGACACTGTTGGATCCATAGCCCTTGAGACCCAGAGCACATCAGTGGCCACTTTGTCCAGAAGCTCATGCTGGCTTTAGTAGTTCTCCATGACCTACTGACTAATGGTATGTTTCTGCCCCTCAGCTGCCTTGAATGCCTCAGAGCTGCAGAGCTTGAGCCCCTCTGTGCTGCCCTTCATCCAGCCATCCACCATCCCGCTCATCCTCCCGGCTCTTCTGGCCGTAAGTGTCCCAATCATCCCCCCACCTGTGCTGGCCGTGTCCAGCCTGATGTCCCTCATTCAACATGTTTCCTCTTTATCTCAGTGTTTGATTGTCTGTGTCATGGTGCCTGTTAAGTCCCACTTTTCCTTGCTCCTATCAGACACTCTCACCAAGTCAGCTAAAGGCACTGGGCCCTGATAATGCTGCAGTGGTGACTGAGGCCCAGAAGCAGCCAATGACGAGCGAGCAGAGGGCTTCTCTGGGAGACACAGGAGCTGTGTCCTCCACGGGCCTCGTTGGAACACCTGCTGTTTCACTACCACAAAGGGGTGGTAAGTTCTCTTCATGCACCTTCATGAACCTTCATGCAAAAATTCTGATAAATCTTTATGATGGTAGTAACATTACCAATCAGATGCTTTATTTTTCATTGAAAAGGTTAAAAATTATAAATTATAAATTGTCTTATACAATGATGATACTACTGATAAGGGTATTACTTTAGTATTACTTTAGTATTACTTTAGTATTACTTTACTGATAAAACTGAGACAATAAGACAATCTTCTTTACTTTAGGAGCTCCTGGGCTGAATTCAACTACAAGTGTCATCGTCTTACAGTTATTTTTGTTATTTGTGCTAAAATACAGCTCTGGAAACTATTAAAAGACCACAGCAAATTTTTCAGGCACTCATTTCATAATTTATGGGCATACACCTGTGTAAAACATTCATTTTTTTTGCAAACTCCAGCCTGGCTCTTCCCTGTTTCTCTTTAATGAAGGGCTCCTTCCTTGCTTTATGAGTCTTCAGTCCTGCTTCTAGGAGGCTGTTATGAATTGTCCTAGCAGTGCACTTCACATCACTTAATATTTCCCATTCTTTTTGAAGGTCACTTGTGGTCATCCTCCGATTTATGAGGCACTGCCAAATAAACTGACGATCATCTCTGACATTAGAAAGTCGCTTCAGCTCTCTACCTGGCTGGTTTTTGGTTGTTGCCAGTGTCCCCTGCTTCACCTTGTTCATGTGTACTGCTGATCTAAAAACTTTGAGCTTGGAAGCAGCCTGCTGCTCAGTGTAGCCCTCTGCCAGCCGAACCAGGATTTATCCTGGATTTAAACATGCAGGTTTTTACAAATATAGAGTGGCCTCAATTTTTTCCAGAGCTGTATGCACATTAAAGCATCCTTTAATAGAATTAGTCGTTAGTGAGATTGTGTGTGCCAATAGCCTTTCACTAGCCTCAGTTCCACAAACGGAAATGCCACCATGAACAAAGTCCACATCGCATTGGTCAGCTAGTACTGGCATCTAGATGACCCAGGCCACACAGAAGCATCATGTCAGGTAGACCATCATGAACACAGTCTAGATCGCATCAAAGCGACAAAAAAAAATGCAGATTAAACCAGCCAATGATGCCCCCACACTCATTGGCACACCATGTTTACAACATCTAGAAAATGTAGCTTCCACTTTACACTTCTGATACTCAGACTAGAAAATTCTGAAAAACAAAACACAAACATGCGATGGTGTTGTAATGTTACACCTAAAATACTAATAACTGGATGACCCTGCTGAGCAGAAAGTTCATATGTGGAAGGACAGAAATGAGAGAGTAAAGAGAGTTACAGGGCGTCAGGTAGGGTGCAGTCTGTAGAGGCATCACCTTTATTATCTACGTCAATTTATATGCTCATATTTCAGCATTTGCTATTTTATATACTTCCAAGCTTAAAGCGATGCATTACCTTGTATAAACATCACAAAGAGCTGCTGTCCTGAATAAAACACTATCTGATCTCACTGTTACATCCACTTGCATTCTTGGTTCTTTGTAATATTGTAAACATTATATATGTTGTGAATGTTTCTCTCAAATTTTACATTTCTTTTACTTGCTTGCATGATACTCGCACAATGTTTTGTAGTAAGCTGTTACCAGAAACGCATGGTACAGTAATCTTCAGAGAGTAAGTAATATGCTGCATTGAAGTCTTGCAGAAAATACCTTAACAGGGCGGCAGGGTGCCTCAAGGGGGATCTGCCTGCATGTGTGAAAGGGGGGGGGGGGATCTTCGTTTCCGAGCCGCCTGGGAGATATCATCACCTCCCGCGCATCCCGGTCTTCCCCAGTGGCTCCTTCAAGAGGACGTGTCCAGCTGACTCCTCTTGAACTGAAGGAGTAGTGCCTCTATATCGAGGTTCCCTTCAGATCATCAAACTCCTCACTCTGTCACAGGAGGTGCAACAACCCTGCAGTGACCTCATTTTAGCCAAATGAACCTACAAACATGTTTTTGGTCATTACAACTGTATGGCTCTTATTTTACTTAAGGTTGCCTCTCAGCACCATCAAGTTACAAAGCGTAGCTTACCTCTGAAAAGTTGAGAATACGGCGTGTTTGTATGGCTGCTGTAGGTTCAGCCGCCTCAGACCCACATCAGAAAATACGGCTCTGGAAATTCATATTTCTCTATCTTGATATAAAACCTCCAAAGCATCGATCTGTCTGAGACACCACCTCATAAGAAATTTGCACTGACCATCTGAATAAGACATTGTCTTTTCTGGAGTTTAACATAATTAATTATGAAAGCACATTTTTAATAACTAGATTTTCTTACTTGAGATTAGCACGAATGCAGTGGGCAGACTTACAGCCGTGTGACCGCACCCCGCTTTGACTGCCAAATATTTACAGTGCCTATGACAGCAGCACTCCTGTCTAAGAAAACAGTAAGATACTGACCATCCCAAACATACATCATTTATTTAAAACAACAAGAAATGATTTCTCTCGTTAAGATGAATAATGGGAGGAAAACAGAAAAATCACTGATAAATTGATTAGGCAACATTTTTCATGGTGACATGAGTTCTAGAAAAAAAAAAAACCTATAGAGAGAGATTATCATCAGTGAGACGACAGGCAAGATTATTTGTACAAACTATTAAAAACCTTTTCTTCTCGTTTGTACATAATCATCAGGCATACAGTAAAAGCATTTTGTACTAACTGCTTTAAAATTTAGGCTACATAAAAAGTACAATCAATTCATTAGCATTCAGACAGCTGAAATGACAAGTGCACAATATCGCTTTCACATTGTCACAGCAAAGCAGAATTCATGGAGCTTCCTAAGTCTACCAGTCTGTGCAGGGGGCACATATATGTACAAACTTCTTGTCTGCTACAGCAGCAGGTCCAGCTGGGCAGCCAAGCTCAGTCTGGGCTCCCAAAGTCCCTCTGTGCCACAAGCCGCTCCTAGCAGCACAGCAACTGTAGAGCTAGGGTCTTGGGTGCCACCAGCCGCTCCTAGCAGCACAGAAACTAGCGCTAGGGTCTTGGGTGCCACCAGCCGCTCCTAGCAGCACAGCAACTGTAGAGCTAGGGTCTTGGGAGAGTCCAGCCGCTCCTAGCAGCACAGAAACTAGCGCTAGGGTCTTGGGTGCCACCAGCCGCTCCTAGCAGCACAGCAACTGTAGAGCTAGGGTCTTGGGAGAGTGACAAAAATCCAAAATCTAAACCCCATTTCAATATGTATAGAAATAAAGTGAAAGGCCAAACAGACTGAAGAAATTTTTCATAATTCTTTAAACTTCTAAAAAACAAAAAAAAAAACACAGTAAGGTAAACCATGACAATTATTAAAAATAATTAGCTAATGTAATTAAATACAATTATATTATGTGATTAGTAGAAAAAATAGTGTTCATTAAATCTTGTTTTTAGTCTTCCCACAGAAACAAAAAATGCCTGTGTAGAATTTTCCTCAGCTGAACCAGATATTGTGGAGTGACAGTGCACAACGTAAAGCACCTGCGACCTGCAGGGGGCAGTCTGTTGCTCCAGTAGTTCTGAACTACGTTTTTTTCCCATTTTTACATCAGAAAATAAGTCAAATATAAGAGCTAAAGATCATGGATTATCAAGCAATGAGAAAACAACAAAGAAAGCTGTATATCTACAAGTCTGCAGGACCTGACTGGGGGACACAAGGATACAGGTAGGATATGCACAACAATGTACAGCAGGGAGACCATGGTGCAGGGCTTGCTTCTGATGTAGAGGGAGACCATGGTGCAGAGCTCGCTTCTGATGTACAGCAGGGAGACCATGGTGCAGGGCTTGCTTCTGATGTAGAGCAGTGAGACCATAGCGCAAAGCTCACTTCTGATGTAGAGGGAGACCATGGCGGAGCACTCACATCCGATGTAGGGCAGTGAGACCATGGCGCAGAGCTCTCTTCCGATGTAGAGCAGTGAGACCATGGCGCAGAGTTCGCTTCTGACGTAGTGCAGTGACACCATGGCGCAGAGCTCGCTTCTGATGTAGAAAAGTGAGACCATAGCGCAGAGCTCGCTTCTGATGTAGAAAAGTGAGACCATAGCGCAGAGCTCGCTTCTGATGTAGAAAAGTGAGACCATAGCGCAGAGCTCGCTTCCGAAGTAGAGCAGTGAGACCATGGCGCAGAGCTCGCTTCTGATGTAGAGCAGTGAGACCATGGCGCAGAGCTCGCTTCTGATGTAGAGCAGTGAGACCATGGCGCAGAGCTCGCTTCCGAAGTAGAGCAGTGAGACCATGGCGCAGAGCTCACTTCTGATGTAGAGCAGTGAGACCATGGCGCAGAGCTCGCTTCCGAAGTAGAGCAGTGAGACCATGGGGCAGAGCTCACTTCTGAAGTAGGGCAGTGAGACCAGGGCGCAGAGCTCGCTTCCGAAGTAAAGCAGCGAGACCATGGCGGAGAGCTCGTTTCTGATGTGGAGCAATGAGACCATGGAGTCGAGCTTACTTCCAACGTAAACAGGGAGAACATGGCTCTCTTCAGATATAGAGCAGGAAAACCACGGTGCAGAGCTCACTTCTGATATACAGTAGGGAGACCATGGCGCAGAGCTCACTTCTTCACAAACTCAACTTCAGCGCAGAGGTGTCCATCTGCATGGACAGGATTCCCAAGGCAGTATCACTGACAATACCAAATGACCTGAGATGGAGATGAACGCACATGTAGTGCACTCTCACACCACCAGTACCAAGCGGTCTGACAGCACCTCCTTGTGCCCCTATACCAGTTTGTCAGTCTTGTGAGCGGCGATGAATGCCATGCCATGTGTGCGGAAGTGCGTGGTCAGGTCCGAAGCCTTATCAAAGTGCCGGCCACACACTTTGCAGCCAAGGCTGCCCTCGCTGTCCTCATCCTGCCCCGAGGGGGACGGGCTGCGGTCACCGGGCCCAGGGGCAGTGCGCACACGGTGACTGATGAAGCAGTGCCGGCTCAATGAGCTGGCTGAGGCGAAGCAGGCGCCACACTGGGAGCATTGGGCCCCAGCTTCGGTGCGGTGCTGTGGGATGTGCTGCTGAAACTCGTGCTGGTCCTCTGTAGAGAAGCCACACGGCACACAATGGAAGCGCCCATCGCTGGGGACCTCCTCGGAGCCCCGGGGCCGCTTCACTGGCCTGCTGTCCTCCCCGCTGTCCTCCTCACCGCCGCCTGCGCTCCGCGATGCTTCTGTCTCCTCTCCCATCCGGGTTAGCTCAGCCTCCTGCTCAGAGGAATTGCCATTGGCCTCCGCTGTAGGGGCACCAGGGGCCAGGCGCTTTCGGGATAGTTCCGGTCTCTGGGGGGGGCGGGCGAAAACTTTTTATATGGGGAGAAATGTTCTGGTGTTCTATAAAGGTGCCGTGAATCAACAGCTCACAATTAGCAGTGAAAAAACGATTTTGAGATACCTGTTCATTCCTGCTCCTGACACCATGCCGGACCCGGATGTGGTTCTCCAGAATGACCCGGCTGCTGAAGGTCCGCTTGCCCTCAGTGCAGTACCTGCACATGGACAGCATGGCGTGACCATCCTCACAACCTCACACACAGGGTGAAAAACTCTCAGCCAGAGACAGCTAACCATGCAGAACAGGGGGTGGGGTACACAGACAAAACCCAGGCCAAACCCAAACCCAAAAAAAAAAAAAAAACTCCACGAATCCCCAGAGCAAAGGCTAAACAACTGGGCAGAGCCCAGGTCGCAGGAGGAGGATAGACAGACGCACTGGCAGTGGAAGACCCTTTTGATGCCCTCATGGTTGACTCGCACGTGGCGTCGCAGGCTGGGGGCAGAGCAGAAGGAGCGCTCGCACATGCGACATGGGAACTTCTTCATGGCCTGGGGAGTGACAGGTGGCAGAGTTAAGCTTATGGCGCCGTGCACCTGGCGCAGACCCCCTGGGGAGCGGCCACACACCTTGCCGTGCTCCTTCCGCATGTGGCTCACGTAGTCCTCCCGCTCTGCACAGTGCGCTCCACACTGTGTGCACGTCCACTCCAAAGACGCACTCTGAGCTGAGGGCCCCAGACCTGCTTCCGGAGAGCTGGGGGCCTCATCAGGGCCCTGCTCCCCTGCCTCCCCATCCTCCTCGCCGTCTTCTGGGTCCCCAGCCCAGTCCTCTCCGTCAGAGCTCTCAGGATTGGTGGCGGGGGGCACAGAGGAGGCTGGGGCCTCCTGTTTCACGGACAAGCCTCTGTGGGTTGTCTGGCAGAGAGACATTCCAGAATGAAAACAGGTCAGTGTCAAAGGTCAGGAACATGAACATGGTAGAAGGATCAGCACAGTGTCATGTTCTTGTTGTAGAACTTAATACAAGGTGACACTGTTGACACCTTGCTAAGGCCAACACAAGAGATGATGTATGCCTTTGGTGACAGCACTTCACACTGAAAACATGAATGTGCAACACAAAAAGGCAAGGCTTCATGTGGAAAGTGCCCTACCTTTCATGTAGAGCAGGAACCCGCTCAAAGATCAAGAGAACAGAAGTGAAACTACAACTTCATAAAAAATGACAAACCTTTATGTGCTCCATCATGGAACTTTTCTGAGCGTAAAGTTTGGTACAATCAGGGCACTTGAAGACGTGCACTTTCTGCTTAGCCAGATGTGTGTCAAAATGCACGTAGAGCAGAGGCTTCTGGGTAAAAACGGTGTCACACATCACACACTTGTAGATCATCCTGCATAAATGGACAATGGAAGGTTCATGAGGAAGGACAGCCTGTCAGATCAAACAACAAAAAAGCAGCAGGCAACCAAAACTGGGTACTAGCACATCAAGACCGTCACAGAACAACTTGCTAGCAGTTCAACACAGTGAGGCAGACATGCTAAAATATGCATACAGTGTCAATGCAAGCAGTCTGGCTAACTGCACTTTCTAACATGCTGTTTGGGTCCGACTACATGCCTCGGTCCCATGTGGCACCTTACTTGGCCTGCACGCTGCCCAGCGAAGGGTGCTGGGAACTAATATGGCTACCAGCCCCAGCGGAGGACTTGAAGGCCATGGGGCAGTTGGGACACTTGTGGAAGACCTCGCAGTGGGCCACCTGGATGTGTGTCTTGATGGAGTTCAGGCCCCCAAACACAATGAGGCAGCTGGAACACCTGCAGGGCGGATCAGAGGGACAGTAAGGGCAAAAGGACTCTCAACTCCAATGTTCTTTTGTATTTTAAAGACGCAGTTTATTAGAACTAATTAGAAAAATTTCAGCAGGAAGAGGATAGGGGCACACTGACACTGTACATCATCCTGTCGGATTCTCTCTAAGAATTGACATAAGTGGTGGCATCTTCTCACCCTCTGAGGCTAGGGAATAACAGCTCTCCGTGCACCACTATGGGCAGAGGGACAGGCGGAAACACGCCCTCAGCCAGTCTCCTTTATAAGCACGAGGCAAACATGAGGAAGCCAGGCCTTCGCAGTGAGACTCATCACCCGTCAGCAGCCCCTGCTGAGGGTAACACCTCTATACCATCGCAGTGACAAAGCTGCCCTCTGTAACCAGCGTGGGCATGAATTTGCCTTCATGGCCTTCGTCCAGAGGGGCCCTTATTGAGCACCCGGATGGGGCTTCCGTGTCCCTCTTATACTTTGTCGGATTAGGCTGAACACAAGAGGCTGGTCTCTGTAGTCTCTCTGAAGTGATTTTTGCACCCAATTGATAACACACTCACCCTGTGTGCAGTTTATGTGCATACGGGCCTTGATTCCAACAGTGAAACGAAATAAAGGTTAGTAATAAATAGTGGAAAAGGTGCAGTGCAGAGTTGTGATGCTAGCCTGGAGCATATTCCAGGAATCGCAGAACTCGAGGCAGTGAAGGCGTGAGGCAGCAGCGCCTCCTGCTACACCACCGGGAGACAATATCTCATAGGTCATATGAAAGGACACCAGACTGGTAAAACATGCCTCAAACGAGCATGTTTTCTCAGGCAGCTTACTGGCAGTGTGCTTGCATAATGACGGGTGAACGGCATGCATTTCATATCCCGTGACCCTAGAGGGCCCTACTGAGCACCGTGTCCCATGGTCCCTATCCTGCTGATATAACAGAGCCAGTCAGACTTCTGATACAAGTGCTTTTCCGTGTGCAACTGCTCGAAACGGGCTACAGGGGTTCAAAGCATCGGCTCGAAACATGACAGTATTTTACTGCTATGGCGATGGTGGTGATCGGGCCCGACCTGTAGCCGATGCGGCGGGCAAAGTGCATGCAGGCCTCGTCCAGGTGGGTCTGGAAGCTGGCCTGGCGGGCGGAGCCCCCGCACTCGGGGCAGACGTGTGGTGCGCGGTGCTTGTGGATGCGCTGGTGGGCGGCGGCGCTGCAGCCGTTGGGCAGCATCATGGCTGGGGAGCACAGCGTGCATGTCTGCAGGGACACGCTCACGTCAGCACACACTCATCACCATGTTCACTATGAACTTCCAAGCAGAGGCCCGACCCCAGAGCCCTCCCAGCTGCTTACCACTTCCTGCGCCTCCTCAGTAAAAATAACCTCTCAAAGTCATGAAGGCAGAGAGTCTCACTGGGCCAGACTTACGAAAGGCAAAAGGAAGTGGCGCAGAAAGTGGCCCCGGGACCCATGAGGACTCACGCTGCTGGACTCCGCCTTGACCTCCTGGAAATGGGCAGCGAGCTCCGTAGCTCCGGCGAATTGGCTATGGCACTCGGGACACTTAAAGCCGTGATACTGCAGGGGTTCCACCTTGGGGCAGGGCAACGGCAGGGAGGCCAGGGGGCCCTCGGGGGCCCGCCGGGGAGGATTGGGCTGGGTGGCAGGCCCCTCCTTCAATGTGCTGGGGACGATGGGGCCAGCAGCCCCGGCCGTCGATGGGGTCACCGGAGAGAGGACACCTGGAAGAGAGGGAGGACACCATCGGTTAAACCCCAAAGAACAAGGACTTGCTGCTTCATTTCGGACGGGACCAAAGCAATTCTGTAGAAATGGACTTTTTGGAAGAAAACGATGAAGCTAATTACTAAATATATGAATTCATATCAAATTTAAAGGCAATTCAGTAAATCTTATGTCTTGAAGCAAGTCATGTTTCCAGCATTCAAATGTCACAGTTAACATTTACTTTACTAAGAACCTGAGCTGTACACTAAAGGGAAAACCCAAAATTTGAAATTAAATGCATATGCAAATAATCCTGGCAGCACATGCAAAAAGCAGAGATCATCCAAGCCTCAATATTCTCGCAAAACGTGACAGTCATCACCAATCACTGGCCTAATGAAATGTGTGACCTCTCACTTCTTTCCATTGCAAAGCTTCTTATCCCTCAGCAAAGATCATTTATCACCATCAGACAAAACGTGGTGCAGCATCTCTGCTTAGTGCCCACATGGACTGACAGGAGGGCAGAGAGGGACTCACCAATGGGCGTGGTGTCCTGCTGGCCCACCATCTGCTCGATGGGGATGGGCCTCATTAGCAGGTGGGAGCACTGCATGACCAGACCGCTCTCTTTGTGCTCACGTGCATGCAGCAGCAAGCTGCACTTGTTGAAGAAGGCCAGCCGCTTGGCGCAATGGTTGCAGGTGACCTCAATGCGTAAGGAGCGCCGGTCGTAGTGGCGTGCCAGGCTGCGCTCGAGGGCAAAGGCATCGCCGCATTCCAGGCAGCGGTAGCCGCTGGAGGGCAGTGGGAGGCTCCACTCGGCAGGCGGGGGGGAGGACAGGTCCGGCCGGTAGCTGGGCAGCAGATTCTTGCTGTTCAGGATCTTGTTAAAAGCTTCCACCAAGCTTGACTGGCTGCGCGAGATAACAGTGCCAGTGCCACTCACGATGGAGGCCGGCTTGGACATCTGCTGGCCACCAGCTGGAGCGGCAGCGCCGTTGACAGCCTTCTGCGCCGTGGGGCGGACCGCGACCCCACCGATGCCCATGGTGAATTTGGAGGGGGTGGCTGTGCCAGACGTACAGGGAATGGTGGCCTTTGCCCCAGACGCCTTGGCCCTCTCGGATGCGGCGGTTGCCAGCTTGGTCTGAGCCTTGCTAGCTGCCACGAGCATGGCGCTACTGGCATCCTGCAGGGTGGACACCGGCAGCAGGGAGCTCTTTGCTGCTATCGGTTGGGAGGCGTCTACGTCGGCTTTCCTCTGCCTGGTGGCCACTGCCCGACCCCCTGCCTGGCCTCTGCTGGACTGCGGGGCACCTTTGGCTGCCACTCGGGTGACGGTCCTGGTGATGCCGCCGCTGGAAGTCTTTATGGTCTTGATGCGCACTTTCAGGGGCCGGGAAAGGAGAGTGCTCCCTTCCGACGAGGGTCTACCCAGGACAGCAGTGACCTCCTCCTGATCCTGCACCTCCATTTTAACCACCTCCTTTTTGGTGCCCTCACCTCCAAGATCTCCTACGCAGGTCTTGTCCTCAGCTGATCCGTCCGCTTTGCCTTCCTCGAGCTCCCCGTCGTCCTCCTTTTTGATACCGAGCAATTCTCTGTCCCTGTTCTTAGCTTCCGAAGATGAACCTGGGCCAGAGTCACCTTTGAGAGTCGGAGCGGCTGGCTGAGAGCATGTGGGAGCTGCACTGCTGGGGGTTTCTGGCTCAGGGCTTTCGGGAGAATCCCGCTCCTCTTTGACATGTTCAGGATTCCTGTCTTCCTGCCCAGGACTACTGGCTGCAGGTAAAGAGGGAGCTGGAGGAAAAGAGGGAGCTGGAGGAAAAGAAGGAGGGGACGGCGACCCAGGGCCTGGCAGAACACCGACTTTGTTTGAAGCAGGCGCCAGTGGAACTAGACGGGGAGAAGTGGAAAGGAGGACCTTAGGAGGAGACCGATGATAATGAGACAGTTTGGGTGGAGAACATACTGGGGATTCGACGCTTTCCTGAATCACCAAGGGACTCCCAAAGTCTGGCTCCGAGTCCTCCTCATCCGACTCCAAGCGACGAAAAACCGCAGAGGCAGACTGCTGTGTGCCATTAAGGCCCTGAGAAGCGCGCAGCGGAGGTGAAGGGTACATCGCAGGGTGAGAGAGGTGAAGACTAGCAGGGAGAGAAGATGGACTGGAGGTGGCTGGGGGCATCGGCTTTGAAGGAGTAAAGAAAGAGGACGACAGTCCCGGGGACACTCCCGACATTTGGGGGGCAGAACCAGCAAAGGGGGAGGGGGCAAAGGAGCCAGGGGCTTTGCCTGGATCTGCTCCCAGGGGGCTGGACTCCTGCTGTAAAAGCCCTATTTTACTCCCTTTTCCTAAGGGATCTCCCGGACTCATCAGGGGTTTTGGCCTGTCCAAAACATTGCTGTCTCGCCTGGCTGTCCGCACACCCAAGGCCCCGCCCTCGGAGGCTGTTTTTGGGGAGCACGGGGGCCAGATTTCCCCATTGGACTGACTCTGCGACATGGCTGTGGTTCCAAAGCTGTTGTGGCTGGGAGGCTGAGACAGTACCAAGCCTGGCATTCTGGGGCCCAGCCGGGAGCCCATGAGGACCCCGCCAGCCTCAGTCCTGCCCCCAGCCCCAGCCGCTCCGCTGGCCGCAGCCCCAGGGCTGTTAGCCAGGCTCTCCTTGCTGTGCTCCAGCTCTGCCCCTCCGCTGCTGTCAGGGCGCACTCGGTTCTTCACGATGACACTGACAATAGAGGTGTCACCCTGGCCGGGAGGAGGGAGACCCTGGGGATCCAGGGGGCTTGGGGGTCTCAGAGGGGGGGCGCCAGTGCCCTCCGCCTTCCCAAGGACCTGGTGTCCTTCCATTTCCTCAGGGGCAGACTGGATGGCTTCTTTTGCATCGATATCTGGAATGTCAAACGCTGCCAGCAGGTCATCAAAATCTGGAGTCTTCATGTCCCCCATTTAGGCGTGTGGAGAGGAAGCTGCAGCCAAGGCCAGGGGGGGTACAGAGGGGGTAACAGAACGGGGCATAACGACAAAGATACATCATTACACTGATTACACTGTACTGCTACCAAAACATGTCAAATCTTACTAAACTGCTCATTTATGTCCTGCAGAAGATGGAAACATATCAAGTGCAGCTACAGTAGCAAAGACAATGATGACAGTGAGACACAAAGGGCATGGAACATAACGGAAGATGGGGGAATGTCACAGTCTGAGCACTGCGACATATCATCGCTTGCAGCTGCTGTGCTTGATAATTAATGCTCTCAAATTTAGTTATGCGGGAAAATTTATGTAATCACAAAACACCTATGTGTCCAGCACAAACATTTTATACTAGGCTGCATATTCTGCAGCTAACTACTGCATCTTGCACTTTAAATGGGCAGTAAAATGTAGCATATATGACAGCAGCATGGCTAAATGTGACCCACACACCACTGAAGTCTCACATCTCACTACAAAAATACAGCCAAACGTGACTTATGCTTTGTTACCATCCAGCCTAGTGATACGTCGGCAGGAGGCAGCACACAAAGCTCTTGCAAGTTGCCATGACCACAGAAATGCTCACCTGGCACGGCAGCAGAGTAAACAAAAAGCTACAAATATGGACTTCTGACCAGAGTAGTACACCTTCACGACTGCACTGAACTAAAGTATCTGCACCATGACCTTATCTTGCAAGGTGTCCTCGCGCACATGGACACCAGGTCTACACCAGCAGCCACCTGTCTAGGTTTCATTTCCTAATTGAGGAGCTTGAGAGACATAGGCCTTGATTAGTTTTTATTTCACAATTTTGTGATTTTCCAATATCACCCAGGGCTTCCATTAGCATTACTGAGAGCGCGCATGACCCGATCGTCCAGGCGGCCCCTCGATCCCCTAGATCCGGACGGAAAGATACTGATCCTTACGGATGAATGCTCTCATTTCAAAGTGTTTTCTGTTTAAACGAAATAAATGTACGATCCCAGACGATTACGATAAGTTTATATGGAACACTGTAAACGAGTATTCATATTCACTGTCAGCCGTGCCAACGATTTTCAGAGCTAAACAAAACTGAAAAATACCTATCGGACATATAAACACACCGAATCACTGACGTTTTAGAGTTCTGAAGTGACGGGAAGTAAGTAATGTTTATCAGCCTGTTAAAACTCATCGTTTTAAGACGAAAATATTTTACATAAATAGTATACGTCCAATTCAGTTTACTTATCGAGCCAGTTGACGCTAGCAAATAAAATAGAGCAACTCGTTAGCTGTAATACAATCGAAATGCTCGATTCATGGATGCGAAAAACTGACTAATAACTTTATGCTGGACCCCTATAGTTTAAAGAAAAATTGATGATAATCTATTTATTCGTGTAAGTTTATTTTAAGCTCCCCCTCAACCTCGCTGGGGCTAGCTAGTGATCGCTAGCTAGCACAACGGCCATTTCGAGTTTCTAAAACTGGCCTTAGTTGGCGCATGTTAGTGCATCGAGATTTTTCATGCGTTCCTGTAAATACTATACATCTGAAACGCTGTATAATGCTGCCATTTCTATCAGAAATTTTAAACTTGTTTACCTATCTCTAAGATTCCCGACGCTCTCACTCCAGTTGCAGCATCAGCTTCCGATCACATGACGAGACTGGCCTTCCTGATAGATATATACACCTAAAATATACTTCCCTTAATTTTGAACTATAAATTGAATATGGTACCAAATCTTAGGGTAAGCTATATAAAACTAAAGGATCTGAACACCTTTTCAGATTTTTTCTTTCTTGGAAAATTGTAATTTATTATTTTTTGTTTGGTTTTACTTTCGGCCTTTTCGGACCTTACGTTTACCGCATGTAAAATACGGACAGGTTACGTTTTTCTGTGCGTATCTATTCCAAAATGCCGTGAAGAACAAGGGCAGCATGTATTGGATTCCCCGACAATTAATCAGGAATTTATTTTAACTGGATAATTATTTATCCTGGCAGTTATTTCCAATACTTGCGTACCTTAGTGTTGGACCCCCAGTTTAGTTTTTGGATGCTGTAGTCTAGTTAGTAATGTAGTAAAGTACCCGAGAAATCACAATCAAGCCATTGATTCCTGGATCCAGCATAAAAAAAAAATTATGCGGAATTCCTGTTTAATTGTTTGGAAAAGATGTTGTGCTTTGAATAATAAAACGTTAATATTGCCTAATTTTTGCAATGTCCACCTGTCCCCAGTGTTGTCAAAGAAAAAAATATTTATATGTGCAATAACGGCACTTGACTGTCATTCTGTCCCCAAAGATTATTCATGTCTATATTAGAAAAAACTTTAAAAGTTGCACATAGTCTGAAGATATTCAGTGAAGTAACAGGTTCATATTCCTTTTATTCTTTTGTATACATAAAACACTTCAATGCACAGCAATAACCTGAATACCTCAGATCCCCCTGAGGTGCACAGACCAATCAGGACAAACCTGTGATTTACAGAAAGCATCAGAAAGACGCAGTTCAAAACCTTTTTTAAAAATGGTTACATGTATAATTTTGTCTTCCATCCTTATTAACTAACCTAGTACTAGACACCAGATGACCACAGATAACTGTCCTCAGCCCCAGAACAAACCCCTAATCACCACATTCACACTTCCAAGCAGGGGTGCGTGAGAGAAATTAACAACAAAACACTGTATCAAGAAGTTCTAAATCAATCTGTTTTGGATTTATTCTGAAAGCATGTCAAATTTCAGTGTTAAGGCTGCCCCGCCACTGCCCACAACAAACCTGGCATGTAAAAGGCATAGATGCACCATACTCGTTTGCAACAGCAAGCTATCTGTAATGGTCAGATTTCCTGCCTTCCACATGCACTAAAGGCACACAGGGGCGAAACACTAACACGTCGCAGTATTCAAGTTTATTTGTACTCAGGTTTCAATTTCATATTAAATGAGCAACAGGCTGAGAAATAGTAGGGAAAGAGAGCAGGGAATTGAAAGAGACATGCAGGTACTTCAGCATTTTTAATTGCAATAGAAAATGAAAAACAAAAGCAAAGAGGGAGACATAGCTATTTAGTATACAACATTTTTGTAACGTACAAGGTTTTAGATGTGTCTAATGTAATGCGCCTGTCTTTATGTGATACCCTCCATGTCCTTTGTCTGGTGTGGAGGCCCAACTGTCAAAAAGTCACTCCAAACTAACACTATGCCCACCTAAATGTCACCTCTGCTGTCCATTTCTAACAGTTGTCCTTTCAGATCAGTGAAATGTGTGCCTGGGGGTGTCCTCATCACATCTGCTTATCCAGGCTTCACTTCTTCTTCTCGTCATCTTTCTTAGAATCCGGTGGCTTCGCTCCCGTCTGCGAGGCCAGGGACCCCATGGCATTGCGGATGGCCTCGTTGTTGGGGTCCACACCCGGCAGATTCTCCAACACGCTCTGAAGGAACTCGGGGTCCTGCATCACATCATAGTCATCCTCCTCCTGAGGATGATGAAACGGGCCGGACACCAAGACACAGGGAAAAGATTGGGGTAGTAAAATTGAATAAAAAGAACTGCACGGTCAACTTACATCATAACACCATCCACATTCTTCAAAACGAGACCGTCCACAGCACCAGACTGCCTACCTTTGCTGAATCAGCTGTGTCCATTGGGACTCCTGTGTCCATAGCAACAGGCTCACCATAATCTGCGCAAACATATAAAGCAGGGCGAAAGTGGGGAAAAGGTGACTACAGTGTAACCGATCAACAGCTAGTACTGAGCAGAAGTGATAGCGTGCAGAGTCCCGGAGAGGCGGAAGTGGCAGCAGGCAGTCAGACTTACCGCCCCCAGCTCCCTGCAAAGACATCTGCATGGCATAGGCAATCTGCTCCTCCTCCGTCATGCTACTGAAGTCCGGCAGCACAGCAGCCCCAGATTCCGGCTGGGACACAGACATCTTCAGCAGAGCCTCCTCTGATTCTGTTCATATGGGACAGGAAGAGAGATCTACAAACCAAAGCCTTTACATGAGGCTCCATCTTCAAAAAGCAAGCTGAGGACAGCCAAGTCCTGAAAAACGACATCATCACTCACCATCTCCAGCCGAAGTGGGGATGCCAGCCTCTGCGGCGGAAGCGGCTGCCGCTCGCCGAGCTTCCTCCTCCTGCCGCTGTCTCTGTTCCTCCATGGACACCCGCAGAGCCTGGGGGCGAGCAGCCACTTGAACCGAAATACACCATAGGAGCTGTCCCCCATCCTCAGCTCTCTAAAACCCCCCAGGACTCATGGACACTCGCAGGCCTGGGGGCAAGCAGCCACTTGAACTGGAATGCACCATAGGAGCTGTCCCCCATCTTCAGCTCTCTAAGACCCCCCATCACCCACTACAACCTTGTACAGCAATATATTACTACACATTTAATCCCCTTACATTACTACACAGGAGAATTCTCATTTTTGGATTTAACCCTTACCAATGCCAACTCAGGGTCAGCACTGGGGTCCACCCCGAACTCAAAGTCGCTGGCTCCCAAGCCCAGCATGGAACCCCCTTCTCCTGCTAGGATGGGTGAGGAGAGCAAGGCGTCGGCCAGGCTGGGTCCTGGTGGAACCGTCACCAAGTGAGAGCTTGTACCTTCCTTCCCATTCAGGGTGTTGATGAATGCAGTGAGCTTCTCAGTGTTTACCTCCTACAGAGGACAAGGAGGTGAGTAACAGCACTGGGAGACACGTTAGTGCTACGGACATCTGGTCACCAGCCTTACCTCCTCCCCAAAATTGATTACATCCACATTTACTTTCTCTTTCTTCAACCGTTTGGCCAATTTAACCAGCTGTTAGATGAGACACACGGAGAGAGCAAAGAGAGTGAGTGAGTGTTGTTTCTCGCCAGAGAAAGTTTTTCTGATGTATAAGGAACTCCTGATGCCCTGCCTGCTCTGCTTTAGCACACACCTAGCAGCTACCATGACTGAAACAGACAAACTCACATCCTTCTCATTGTCCTCCACAGGGCTGCCTACAAAGGCGATGATGCGCATCTTGTGATTCTTCCCTTGTCTATGTTTCAGAGCCAGCTACATGGAGACAGACATTGGTAAACAAAGCACACTCACTGACCAGATAAAAATAAAACTGCTCAACTCACATGTGCCACCAGTGACATGCAGTGTGCAGTGCGCTGTGCACAGGGAGACTCACGTGTGCTACTCGAATACCAGTGCAAAAGCTGATCTTGCCCCGAGGCTGGACAGCATGCAATTTGGAGAGGATGCGTCCCGTGTCTGGGGTAAGTGTGGTCAACACCTCACAGTTACTGTGGAAAGATACATTTAAAAAGCATATATCAAAAGTATAGTCTTATGAACTGACATTGCACCATCATGCCCTGCAATCACGCTCACATATTTCAGGTACATCCAGAGTATTACACCCACACAAGTCACAGTGATGCTGTTATGGCCACACAGACGCAGAGCACGAATCTGCCAAGAGCCCCAGCAGAACAGTGATAAGCAGACACACCATTACAAAGAATGGAAAAATATATAATACTGAAATAAAATAATAAAATAATATACTGGGAAAAATTAGGAGACCACAGCAAAACTTTCAGCTGCATTCATTTCTCTATTTATGGGTATCTCGTTGATGAAGAGCTTTTTCCTTACTTTATGGGTCTTCAGTCCTGCTCCTAGAACCCTGTTATGAATAGCCCTAGCAGTGCACTTCACACCTGAACTTAATGTTTCCATTCTTTTTGAAGGTCACTTGAGGGCATCCTCTGATTTATGAGGCACTGCTGGATAAGTTGACTATCAACTCTGGCATTAGAAAGTTGCTTCTGCCCTCTACCTGGCTGGTTTTTGGTTATTGTCAGTTCTTGTGTGCTGCTGTCTTATAAACTTTGAGCCTGGAAGCAGCCTGCCTCACAGTGTAGCCTCTGCCAGCAGAACCAGGATTAAACCAGGAGTTAAAAATACAAATTTTTTATATATGTAGAGCAGGGGTGTCAAACTGCAGTCCTGGAGGGCCACAGCCCTGTGTAGCTTAGTTCTTTCCCTGTTCCACCACAAATGATTCAGTTCAACAGCTGTGTAGTAATTAGCACAAGAAGTTGAATCAGGTGTGTTAAACGTGGGGAAACCCAAAAATGTGCAGGGCTCCAGCCCCCTAGGACTACAGTCTGACACATGTGATATAGAGTGATCTCTTCATTTTTTCCAGAGCTGTACATACCCCATCAAAGAAGCAGAACATCACACACTTACTTGGCCATTGTGATGAGACCCACATTGTTCTCGGGATTACTGCGGGTCTTAGAGTGGCAAACAATGTTTACGGCATCCTGCTGGGCCTGTAGCCTCGTAGGGAGGAAGTCTCCATTGCGCATGTACTCGCTGTTATCCACACTGTAGGACAGATAACGAAGCACATTTAATTGGACTAAAAAGGGAGCATAAAACAATTATGCTAAGTGTTATGGTTTTATAAGTATATAGGACTTGCCACGACAGATGTGACACAGCCACACACAAAACTTTAATTCAAGGTCTTGTTCAAAAAACTTGATGATAAAACTGGCACAACAAGATATAAACAGCAACAGAGTCCATCTTCATTAGGTCTTATTTGGCACAGTGTCCCTACCAGCCCGACATCCAGTACGGCCAGGGTAGGAGGCACGACCAATGTCACCCCATCGCAGGACGGACACACACACACACACACACACACACACACACACACACACACACACACACACACACAAACACACCAGCACAGGCCAATTTGCAGATGATAATTTCCCAGCTCCTGTACCTCAACAAGTAAAGCATAGTCCCAGCAAAGCAAAGGTCGCAGATTGAAATCCCAGGGATGCGCATGCACACACACTCTACCCCTTCCCTGTACTGTATGACCCCTGGATAAATGTAAATACACGTTTCCATCTCTGCAGCCACCAGGGAATGTACATATATGCAAACTGCATACAGAGCAGGGGCAGGAATCAAACCCTCCCACCACACAGGTGTGAAAGCACATTGTTACCCATACTAAGGCATTCCAATAAGTAGGAAAAGCTTGTCACCAAAATGTTCAAGGAAATCCTTGAAGTGCATAGACTTAATATATTTGGATACTCACCAGCTCTATTCAACACATTATAACCAAATACTACGAGGTAAGGAGCAGCACTGATTACAACACGTTGCCGCACCCACCACACGGCAAACCACATCAGGGATGAGAACCTGAGTGCAGCCATGTGGCAGGTGATACCTCAGCACCTCAGTATTTTTCCCCCCAGTAGCTGGAGTACCAATCCAGCCACCAGCCCCCAAGTTTTTCCCTGTAAGTTGGAGGACCTCCTTACAGAGCTGGATGTAGATTAACATCATACCCAGGATGAAGCAATTGCAGGTTAAGGGCCTTGCTCAAGGGCCCAACAGAATAGAATCACTCTGGGCATTCACGGGATTTGAACCAACAACCTTCCAGTTGCTAGCACAGATCCCTAGCCTCAAAGCCACCACTCTACCCAAATACTATGCAGTGCAAATAATCTGACAAAAATGTACTATGTTATACAGAGAAAATGAATAACAAATGTTTTTGGGAGTACTACCCCACAGACATTAAAAAGGGTATTACGGTCTATGGTTGCTACAGAGTATCGGCGCTATAGGCAAAATATATAGATTGTGGCAGCCACTAATAAAAGAGGTGGATTCAAATTACCGCTGGATAAAAGACGTCATTTTACTAGAAGAGCGGAAAAAAAAATAACTATTGGTGATGTGCGTTTTGTATATTTTTGGATATCGCAGGAAAACCAAGCAAATCTTTCCCATCCATTAGCATATGTAGCTAGCTATGACTACCCTTATACAGTCCCGTTACACTGACACCAATACAGTTTGTCTTAGTTGTCTGGATTAACGAAGCGTGGTTTATATTATGAATCCTTCAGATTCGACTGGCAGCATTATTAACACGTTGGTAGCCGTACTAGCTGGCTGGCTGGCTAGTTTTAGTGGGTTCCCCAAGAACCGGCCGTTAATAACATTTCAGCGGTTTTATGCTAAGTTCAGCTAGATATACGTCAAACACAGCACATTCGTTAAGATGTGTACGCTTGAAATATTCGATTAGACTGACGCAGAAGTATAAATTCAAAATATTTTTACTACACAACGAACTCGACTAGCCACGACTAAACAGGGCTGTCAGTAATGACTCAGGAAAATACGGAACCCCGGCGAACAGGCAGAAGTAAAAGCAAAACCCTTCTCTTCATTCAAAATGTAATGATATCACATCACGCTTGCCAGTTAATCAAAAGTATGGTGGTAAATTAACCAAAGGAAATAAAGGACAAATACTGATTTAAATATATCTATCTTACCAAACCATAGTACTCTCGAGCACCATTTTGGAAACTTTGCGTCCTTCCCTGACGGCTCTGGGAAACGCAGCCACTCATTGGTTAGAATGCCGGAGTCGCTCGGTAACCCGGATGCAAACGTTCTTCGCTACGCCGCAACCCATTTTTTTTTTTTGTATGCGTGGGCTTATACATTTATTCCCACAGTCTAAAAACGAAATTGCTCAAACATACTTTTGTAAGTCACATACCACACTGTCACATACTACTGCAGCTAACGTGGTCTGATTAGTATATAGCTCAGTGGAGTATGGTTTGTGCTTTTGTCTGGATGGTTGTGGGTTCAAATCCCATGGCTAATAATACACTGCCTGGCCAAAAAATGTCACCATTTGAATTAAAATCAGCAAGTACTTAAGACCCAAATGATTGGATCATTATTACAGCTCAGCAACATTATACAGCAATAAAGTGAAGTCAGCTGAGTACCTGAATCTCTTGGATGGCCAGGTTATCCCATGAAAGGATTTTTTCTTTCCTAACGGCATGGGCATATTTTAAGTTGATCCATTCATCAGGCTCGAATTGTCAAAGAGTGGTTCAGGGAGTGTGAGGAATCATTTTCACACATGAATTGGCCACCACAGAGTCTTGACCTTAAGCCCACTGAAAATCATTGAGATGTGCTGAAGAAGATTTTATGGATCTCAATGAGAAATCAATGCAAATCTGGATGGAAAAAAATCTTGAGATGTTACATAAACATGTGGATGGATGCATTGACAAATGTGCACAATAATCAAAGCTAAATGTGGCCCAACTAAATGTTACAGTGTGTGACACTTTTTTTTGGCCAGGCAGTGTAATATCACTTTGAGTCCTTGAGTAAGGCCTTTTAAGTTGATCCATTTAAATTTATTTTGAATTTTGAGTTGGTGTAAATCAGGGGTGGCCAATCTTATCTGCAAAGGGCCGGTGTGTATGCGGGTTTTCGCTGCAACTCCCTAATTAGATTACTAATTAGAGGACTGATTGGCTGAAGAGTCCTCCCACCTGGGTTTGAACAGCTGACTTACAGGTTATCCCAAAAACCTGCATACACACCGGCCCTTTGCGGGTAAGATTGGCCACCCCTGGTGTAAATGATCTTTCTGACACCTTTCTACCATCTTTAAGTGTATCTGTACCTGAGGGAGCAGCTTTCTCCAACATGTAAATATAGGTTTGCTGAAAAGACCAGTTTTCTTACTGTTGAAACCAAAATCTATAAGTTTATTAAGTCATAGTTTATATCAGGGTTATTCAACTCATGGTCCTCGAGGTCCGAGCCCTGCTTGTTTTCCAGCCTTCCTTTACCTGTCAGTCAGGTGTGAAGCCTCTGACCAATCAGAATCAGTAATTATTAAACAACTACCTGGGAGAACTGAAAACACGGCCTGGATTTGGAATCAAGGTCCAGAGTTGAACAACCCTGGTTTATATGACATATTCATTTTTATGAAAGTATACTCCTTAGGTAATTGTTTTCTCTTAAAAAGTAAAAAGATCTCTCAGTAAAAAAGGTTTGCAAGAACTGCACAGTGCGGACAGAACCACTGACTCAAGAGGAACAATGCAGATGCCAGTCCATCACAGGGGAGTCACTGGACTGCATGTCATTGGACAGTGAAAGGAAACTGGAGTACCAAGAAAATACTCATGCAACATGAATAAAACAAACTCCACAGGTCCTATACACAAGATTTTATTCTGTGACAATTCTTGCTTCACGCCATTAACCACTGAATGCCAAATTATCAATTTCCATTCTTTAAAAATTTTTTGCATTTTTCAAACTTTTTGTGATGTTTAAGCCATAAACTTTGGGTAGAAGAGAGGCACAGTCTATGAATGAAAGATAAAATGAAGACAAATATGACTACATCTGCTGTACCTATGACTGCATAAGGGCTTTCTGAGGTTTACTGTGAAGCAGCAAGCTTATATTAAAGCATAATGGCTGTCAGTTCAGTGACAGTCGAAGCATAGGAACTAAATGTTGCGTTCATTTTTGGCACAGTCAGAACTGATATATAAATAAAATCCTTCACACTAACATACTGATGACTTTGAATAATAATTTAAAAAAATCTAATAAACTTATAACTAATTAACTAATCATAACATTAGGTTACAGAATCCCTGACAGGAAATGCAGACCTTCACAAGGCCCCGTTCATCTATGTATACATACAGTATATATACTGTACATACTTTATACACAGAACATTGCCCATAGATTACGGCCCTAGGTGTACTGAAATATCTCAAATTATAAAATCGTATACAATGCAGGCGAGAACAAGATTTGCATATTCACATTAATGCATAACCACAGTTAAAATATAAAAGCCGGAATGCAGTGTTTTCAGTCTATTACACGTAGACCTGTGGTATCATTTAAATATCACACACATTCAAAGTACATATGTTTCTGGAGAAAAATACTTAAGTAAAATGTCTGTAATAAAACACCTTTAAAAACTGGTTCCAGACCATTTAGTTTTAGCCGGGTGCCGTGTTGGAGATAATTAGATATTTGAACACAATTCAGAACACTACCGAGTTTTACCTTTCTTATATTGCAAAACAATTGTGCTAAAAGTATGTTAAGCGGACTAAGCCTCCCCAGCACAATAATGTTTCTTATGTTAAAGGCATTAAAGATTTGTGAAATTCATAATTCATTTGTGAAAAGCATAACTTAATCTTCAGCCCAGTCTGCCAATAGAGCAACTCCAGAGGGTCACCATCAGCTTTTCAGCTCTTTATTTTAGTGTATTTTTCTCTCCATTGATTTTGATACGTTCAGTAGTTGGAATGTTGATACTGAACATTCAAAATCTCAGAAAAAAACTGCATGTTTTTCAAATGTTTTCAGATTTTCATTCGTTCATGGCTCGGACACACTGGCTATATCGAGCCCCTGGCTGCTGAATCACATTTGCATCTTGCAACTACGACCATAACCAGTGGTACTCGCTTTCCTGCTGGAGCCCAGAGACTGAGCACTAAAGCACATAGTCGCTGATGACACAAGGTTTGGAAGAAAGCATTATGGTTCAGTCTCTGGGCTCCAGCAGGAGACAATGAAAGTTCTATGTCTCAAATTCTTGTTCATTATACAAATGCATTGAAAAATGACACATTCTTGTTAAACACCATTGTGGACACTAGGGATGCACCGATACCGGAATCAGGAATCGGGGTGATACTACGCTCATATCTTTTTGTGCTGCCCAATCAGATTTTGGCATCTACCGAGAGATTTGTCAACCAGAAACATTTGGGAAGGACAAATGTACAGAACACCGCCATTGGCAAATTCGGTGAGTATACGCGGAGGATGTCAGCAGTTTGGACAAAGATAAGGGACGACAAGAGAAGTAAAGCAGACTGTAAGCTCTGTTCTGCTAAAGTGTCAAGAGGAGGAAGGGACAGCAGACATTTAACACAAGCAATTTGATCAAACATCTAAAGATGCACCATAGTGAAGAGAACATGGAGTTTGGTAATGCTTGCAGAGAAGGAGCGCCACAACGAATTTTACCGCAATTTCTGGAGACGCGAGAGAAAAACTAAACTAAAGCATTATTTATATCTAACATTAAACTAAATAAGTTATTTAATGTTAGATGTATTGGTGATAGAACCTGTAGCATTAGTTATAAGTACACCTGGGTTTACGCTTTCCTATAAAAAGCACGAAGGCTACCAAGCAGTCCAATCACAGTCCTTTCAGTCTGTGTCACTGCAACGTGTAGTTACATTTCTGGGGAGGTGACATAAAAGAATGATCACAGTCTCTTCCACACAGTGAGGCAAAAGCTGTCAGCTTATTTATTAAACCCTGGTATTGGATCGGTACCCAGTGTTGACCGATACCCAAAGCCCAGGTGTCATATCGGGCCAGAAAAAGTGGAATTGGTGCATCTCTAGTGGACACGTTATAAAAGACATTCATCGTCTTTCCTTGTTGCAGGGAGCATGTTTTGGTCATCTTCACTGTGCATCCTAAACTCAGCCATGGGCCGAAGTGTGGCAAATTCATCCATGCACACAGTTTAGTGACCTCCACAAAACATTTAGCTTTTAACAGTTAGTAGCGCCTTGTGTCTTCTTCATGTGAGTGGCAGTCATATCATTACATTTCCAGTCATTTTGTAATAGATTCTGTGGGCTTTAAATAGAAACATGGCAGTACATAAACGCAGTCTCCAGGCTCCCAAAAACCACAGCATCAAGGGAGATGAGGAAAGGCCAAGTTTGGAGGACCTTCCTCATGCCCTGTGGCTGCCGTATGAGCTCAGTGCACAGAAATCCAGCACATAGGACTGCAGAAAATTTACCGCTAGGAGACCAACAGTTACTGTCATCAGGCATCCCTCCACAGGAAGAGCAGTGTAACTACAGTCAGAGAGAGTTTATGTAGAGATAACTCCCATCATCTTTCCCTTTAATTTTAAGAAGCTATTGTAAATACTAAAGGGAGTGGCCAGGAATACTGAAACACCAGCCTAGTCTGCTTTGGCTCTAGTTAATATGGAAAGTGCTGCAGTACTGATAGCTCCCCCTGCTGGAGTTCTCTAGGTAGTTTCACTGTAACTCAAGCAGCATGTCCTGCATGAGCAAGGGTAGCAACAGATTGGAGTCATAGTATCTACTGTTGTAGCTTGCTTACAATATTTTCATAAATCCACATCAAGGGTTAGAACTAATATATTTTTAAGCCACATGGAGTATGTAGTATGAGATAAATGCAGAAATCTCAGCCCGGTCTTGTGCATTAAGAAATGTGAGCTGCAGTGTGTTGGATGATACTCACTAACACACATCTTAGTGTGGCTGAGCAGCCCATAGATCAGGCATCATAACCTGAAGCCCAGTCATGGTGATAATTACGAGACAAGCACTGCAGTGATGTCACAGTGGGTGGGGCCCTGTATGTTATGGCTCCGCCTTTCCGCCACTCCTCGTTACTCCAGTTTGCTGGGACGTGTGCCTGGAGACAGGGCTCACCCTGGCCCTTCTGGGCTCTCTTCCTCTCAATGTCTTTTCACTCTTCTTTTACTGCCAAGAGGACACAGACATGTCATGAGCTATATCACGCTTAACATACATCAGGCTTAATAAAGGGTTACAAAGCAAAGACATCCAAGCTACAGGCACCCAAGCTTCTATCAGCCAAAGTCAATATTGTTAAGCTGGCACATCTGGGTAGGTGGCTTACAAAGCAGATGTTAGTTTCGGGAATGATGTCTTTGAGGGAAATGGCATCTTCTCTGGCTGACGGATGCTCTGGAACTGCCACTTCAACACTGCGGATGTAAAGGGAAGCGGAGCCGGTCGGCACCCCAGGCAGCGTGCAGAGGAGCAGCTCACGAGGCTCGCAGTCAGCGGGCTGATGTTATGACCAGTGCGACGAGCTCTCACCTGTCAGAGGCACTGTGCCATTCCTCTGGATTTGCTGGCTTATGCACTTCAACTCCTACTGACCTTCAGAACACAGTGTGACAGTAAAACATGAGTCATGTTGATAGAGTCGACATGCAGAGGCAAACTGATATAGGAGAAATGGAGAACAGCCTCAATTTCAAGTACCAGGAATTCTTGTCATATCGCACTTCTTTATGACTTCGTTATTGGATACCATGCCTGGTAATGATACACAGCACATTCACTGTGGCCCAGAGAGGATGGCAGAGTGGTACCTGTGTGGCGGAGAGCAGGAGGCCAGACCTGCGCTTCCCAGGGGGCAGTTGGACAGAGTCGTTTCAGCAGAGTCATTTTTTAATTCATCAAGCCGAGGGGTCCTTGCGAGCAGGTCAGGCCGGCCAGATTGCCTGTCTGGTCGCAAAAAAAAAAAACACACCAGCTTAGTGCAGCTGCTAAAATGCTCTGCAGTTTCATGTTCAGCAGACGACGCCGTCTCCATTCAGAGCTGAGCCTTGCAGATACTGCTCACCCTGCTTTCCCTCCACATCCGGTTTGGGGCCTCCAGCTGCGGCCGCCGCCCTGGGGAGGCTCCCCTGAGCCCCGGGTCCTCTCTTCTTCGATGGGGAGGGCTTGGCTGGGAAAGAGGATCGAGGCCGGGCTGAGTCAGATCATGTCATTGAGAGTCATCATTAAGAAATTTTCACATTTGCAGGGATCTTCCAGGGGTGATGGAATAAACACACAGACACACAAAGACACAGACAGATAGACACACACACTCATACACAATTACTTACACGGGGCTTTCCTGAATACCGTGTTGCACATGAACTTCTGGAAACGTTCAGCATAGAAGCCTGGTCTGTGCACAGATACTGTGTCCTACAGAAAAAGGAAGTGTGAAGTTTAATGTTTAAAACGGCATGCTGTCAATAAGTCACAATTATTGTTTATTTTTTTTTTTTTACATTGCAAGACAGGAGAATGTGTAACCAGAAGCCGCCCTACCCCATCGTGTATCAGGGCTTTCCATGAATGCTCCAACTTCTTAATTAATCTGGTGAAAAACATTGGCCGGTTTGTGACATATCACTCAGATGTGTTCCCCAAAATGCTGATTTCCAGAAAAGTAAATTGGTAATACAGAAGGGATTTCAAATTGTTCTAACACTAAAATGATTACATGAATCAGATGGTGCAAAGACGGTCTAGAGCAGAAAGCGGTAGAGATGGACACGCGTGCCGGGCAGCTACCTGTACGACTGCAAGATGTCGATGATGCCAATGTAGAGCAGCAGCTGGTCCCCTCTGACGTTGTGTGCTGGAATCCCCCCCGTGCTAAAAGACCAGTGGAAGCATCACATGACCATCCCCTGAGCCACTCACAATAATGCTTTTGGGGTTCTTGCTTATATCAGTCATGCTGGGAGGAGTGACTCACTAGTCCTCGGAGTCGAGCACGACTCTGCCGCGTGCCTCGCCCTGGATGGACTCCATGGCTGTGCAGTACAGTGTCTTCTGGCCTGGGCCTCTCCTCTGCTCGGGGTTTACGGCCCAATCGTTCACACTCTCGTCCACACGCTCCCGGCCCGCATGCTCCATGTTGTGGATGCCAAGCAGCAGACTGTAGTCCATGATTTTGAAGCTCTGCAAAAGCTGCGGCAGAATGAGATGCACTGTTACTGCAGATGTGGGACACTGGCCAACATGACAGAGAGACTGGCTGCTACAGCTCATTCACGCTACGCTTTGTATACAGAGACGGGTGCTCCTGGAGACGTAGAGAAGATATCACGAGCACACCAGAGAGGATGGAAGCATACCCACCAAGCAATCCCTCTGGATGGTCTTGCTCAGGGCATTGTAGTTCTCAGGCTCCAGCTGTAACCCATCAGGCATGTTCTGGATGAAGTCCAAGTCCTTATAAGTGGGCAGAGCCTTCTCACGCTCCTTAGGTGAGGCCTGGCGCTTGCAGGTGGAGCCTTTGAGGTCGTACTTGAGGTGCATGTGCCTGGCGCGCGGAAACAGGTTGTTCATCACCAGGATGCGGATGTTCTTGCCGCCAATCTGCACGCAGTACAGCCCATAGAACTTGGGAAGCAAGGTGCGCTTGTTCTGGTTGATGTTCTGAAAAATGACGTGGGATTGAGGAGCACATCCTGCGGGGCATTCAGAGACACCCCCCCCCCCCATTCCACGGTGGTCCTCAGCAGCCTCTCTGAGTCAGAATCGTACAACTTGGGAGTGTTTGTGTAGGTTTACGTTGGTATGAGTGACCTGATACCCAGTATTTTAAAAAGCAGCTGTAATCCACTGAAGAGAATCTAGTCCTACGGAGCCTCTGAAGGGACACAGAGGGGAAAAGACCTCGCAATACTTTTCTGTTACTACTAATATCTGCATTGTGTCCATTTACACATTTACAGTAAAAAAGGACAGAATTAATGGACTAATAAGCATAAACCTAAATGATACAGACACGTCCAGTAAAGTGTGCTTTACGCATTAAACTATGGGGGACAGCACAGACCATATAAAAAACATTCATATTTCAGTATAGATACATATACTGAGTTACAGTGAAACTACCTAGAGATCTCCAGCAGGGGGAGCTATCAGTACTGCAGCACTTTCCATACATATCCCCAAATACAGCCTCAAATGAGAAGACTAGGGAGGAATTCCCCTGGATTTGGGTTTACACCTAGAACTCTAAGACCACGGTAAAATTAGCTATATATGCAGTTTTCTGGTTGTAGTATCATTCAATAAAAGCAAGCAACACCCCTTGGTTTTCCAGATTTCTTTACAGGCGATTTTAAATGAATGTTTCAGTGTTTCTGTGTGCACTTCACATTCAATAGCCCAACTGTCTTGCTATGGCGGTGAATGTACGCAGTGCAAAAATGAATAAATAATTTATAAATTTCATGTTTATTGCTTTTGTATGTGTGCTTTTTCATGTGTGTATTAGTTTTATATTGATTGTTAATGCTTTTTATCATTAGTTAAGTAGGTAGGGAAGGTAATAATCTGGGGTTCTTATGGGGAAATTCGACTTGGACCTCGACCAAATCGCAACTCAAACAGCCTTCTGCAACAAATTAAGTTTGTGTTACAAGGTACAACTATATGTATAAAACTACATAATGTGACAGTTATATATGGTCTGCACTATCCCCATAGTGAAACACTGAAAGCAAACTTTCCTGGACACGTCTGTATCGTTCAGTTTTATATTTATTAGTCCATTAATTCTATCTTTTGTACTTTAAATGGAAACAGTGCAGTTAACAGTAACAGAAAATTACTGTAAGATCGCACAAAAGTTTTCCCTCAACCATCAATTTCTTTTCCCTTCTGTGTCCCTTCCGGGGAGTAATCTGCTGTCACTCCAGTGCAGCTTATAACGACCCAATCAAAGTGAGCAGCTGGAGAGGAGAATGACAGCTGAACCTTATGCCAAACACAGAGGAAGGGACAGTGTATCTGCCAGGAGAATCACACCCATAAAGCACCTCCAACAGGAGAAACTCACACACATGCTCTCACCATAAAGTAGCCAGGCAACAGCTTCTGCAGAAACTCTGCCTCCTTGTGCTGCACTGTCTTGATGATGAATTCATCGTCACTGGAGACATAGAAGACCGAACCACTTGCTCCGGGGTTGGACAGCTCAATCAGCGACTCATTGCACAGGGAGTACTGCAGCACAATGCAAGTAGAACTGCTCATGCATGCTTCATGGACTACTGCAGCACAACGAAAGTAGAACTGCTCATGTACACTTCAGGGAGTACTGCAGCACAACGCAAGCACAACTGCTCATGTATGCCTCACTGCATGTTCGCTACACAGCAGAACATCCAACCATGAAGTCTTCTCTTTCTTTCTTTGCTTACCACTACAAATGCCTATGCCTTTTGGCTTAGAAATGGAGAACGCGTGAGAAGATGGAGGCGTACCAGGTAATCATCCGGCCGGATACCAAAGAGCTCTCGGAAGTAGCGGAAGGCAACGGGGGCGTAAGTCTTGAATCGGAAGTCATTGTAGTGATGGGCTGGAGTCAGATTACTGCCCCCCCTGAGGAAAGAGATCCACACAGCAGAAGAGCAATAAGGAAAGCGGCTCAAAGTTAGACATAAGGAGCAGTAAGGAGCAATAAGGAGCAATAAGGAGCAATAAGGAGCATTAAGGAGCAATAAGGAACAATAAGGAGCAATAAGGAAAGCGGCTCAAAGTTAGACATAAGGAGCAGTAAGGAGCAGTAAGGAGCAATAAGGAGCATTAAGGAGCATTAAGGAGCAATAAGGAGCAATAAGGAGCAATAAGGAGCAATAAGGAAAGCGGCTCAAAGTTAGACATAAGGAGCAGTAAGGAGCAATAAGGAGCAATAAGGAGCATTAAGGAGCAGGCTTCATAGAGCAGTACACAGGCGAGTCAAGAAGACCTGGGGAAGAAGATGCTCTCCACCACCAGGAAGTCCTGCATGAGGACATCCCTCTCAGCCTTCTGACTGAGGCTGCCCACTGTGTGCGTGATGCCCAGCTGGATGGCACCTTTCAGGGCACTGGACGTGGTCTGCACAGGTACAGCAAGCAAAGAGGGCACTGAGTTTCCCATCCCAGTCTGACACCAGGACAAATTAAGATTAACACATACTTTCTGGATCCCAGGAAGATGTTCTGCCGTAAATACAGCATACACAGTGAAAACAGGTAATGCAGTGTGGACAAACATAAAGAGCATAAAGTCCTAGGACACAGTGCACAAATAAATTATACTGAAAAACAGAATAGGTGGTACAACGGGAATAAATATTTAATGATAAGAATAGCAAGTAACTGATGAGGACACTAACATCTTACCCACCCAGTAGCAGACTTGGAATACAGAAATCTATCTTTAAACTCCTGGTATCAAAGAAAACATTTCTGAACTCTGCACATTTCATACTTTCATGTAAAGGAAAAGCAGCTGACCTTCTTGTAGGTGGTTTCTCCCGTGTGGTCGATCCCCCGGTGTCCGATGGTCTTCTTCATGGTTTGGGACGTCCCCGGGAAGCCTGCCGCCTGCAGACGCATTTGCAGTCACAGTTACTACTCATATAATAAGGTTAGATATGGCAAAAGTAATGCAAAGTACAAAGCAATAAACTTGACAATTTAGAAACTAGGAATTAAGACACAAAAATAATAATTACTATAATTAATAAATCAGACAATAAAGTATTATTACTTATATACTAAAATGAAGTTTAGTTCACATTCAAAAATTCTTTAAAATGAAATCAGAAACATGTCAAACCACTGTGAGAATGCACGCCATCTCAGGAGCTGTGCTGAAACAAAAGCCAGTGTTTTTCACAAGCCCTGGATCTGCAAAGAGCAGGGTGCAGCCCCAGCAGCCCTGGAAATAGCCCTTGTAGCCACGCCCCCATGTAACACTGTATGCCGGATGGGCAAACTCGGGACACGGTGGTCATCTAATACCTGGAAGCTCCATTCCGGAGCAGACCAGAACTTTCCTTGTACTAAAGAAAGTACTGATAAGCACAGGAGCGAAGCAGCATAAACAACTCCGCATACGGCAACAAACAGCGGCAAGGGAATCACCTCTGAGGCGGCCATCTTTTCAGCTCCACTAAAGCCTGTAGATGAAAAAAAAATAAAGGACAAGAAAGGAGAATTAAATGTGGTTACAGCAAACATAAATAATACAAGGCAGATACCTGCAAGACGTAAGATATACATGCGTGACTCGGACCTGCCACGCATAGCTCTGACTAAAAGACACCAGGGAAAAAGGCGTCTAACAGCAGCACAGCTCTCAAATGGCTGCTCCCTCGTGTTCATCTCTCTTCCCAAAGCCAGTTACAAATGGCGGACGCTACCTTTACCAGGCACATGCACAGCTACACTGATGTTCTCACTGCTCCAGGTCAAATGGGGACTAACACAGAACATTCTGCATAATTAATAATAACTACAGGTATTAATTAGCAGGTAAACAAGAGCTTAACAACATTAAGACGGTCTGGTATTTAATGGCATGTACAGTACTGTGCAAAAGTCTTAGGCAGGCAAAGAAAATGATGTTTAGATTATCCTCGTGTTGGTGTAAAACTATGATATTATGCCTGTCAAAGTGTGTCAGCTTAGCCATTTCAGAACCTCTGCTAAAATCACCCCAGTATTTGCAGCGACCG